ATGTGCAAAGACCTGGAGTTAGAAAACCAAAAGGGAAGATCACGCTCTGCATTTTTCAAGCTCAAAGAACTGAAGAAAAAATTCAAGCCCCGAGTAACAATATTGAAGGATTCTATGGGCAAAATACTGAACAACATAGGAAGCATCAAAAGAAGATGGAAGGAATATAGAGAGTCACTGCACCAAAGATAATTGGTCGACGTTCAACCATTTCAGGAGGTAGCATATGATCAAGAATCGTTGGTACTGAAAGAATAGGTCCAAGTTGCCCTGAAGGCACTGGCGAAAAACAAGCCTCCAGGAACTGACGGAATACCAGTTGAGATGTTTCAACAAACAGATGCAGCTCTGTAGGTGCTCACTCGTCTATGCCAAGAAATTTGAAAGACAGCTACCTGATCATCCAAAGAAAGGTGATCCAACCTAATGCATAAATTATTGAACAGTATCATTAATATCACAGACAAGTAAAATTTTGCTGACCATCACTCAAAAGCAGCTGCAGCAGTACATCAACAGGGAACTGACAGAAATTCAAGCTGGATATCATTGCTGATGTCTGATGAATCCTGACTGAAAGCAGAGAATACCAGAAAAGTGTTTACATGAGCCTTATTGACTATGCAAAGGCATTCGACTGTGTGGATCATAACAAATTATGGATAACATTACAAAGAATGGAAATTCCAGAACACTTAATTGTGCTCATGAGGAACCTGTACATAGATCAAGAGACAGTCGTTCAAACAGAAGAAGGGGCTACTGCGTGGCTTAAAGTCAGGAAAGGTGTGTGTCAGGGTTGTATCCTTTCACCATACTTATTCTGTATGCTGAGCAAATAATGCGAGAAGCGGGACTATATGAAGAAGGTGGCATCAGGATTGGAAGAAGACTCATGAACAACCTGCATTATGCAGATGACACAACTTGCTTGCTGAAAGTGAAGAATACTTGAAGCACTTACTGATGAAGATCAAAGACTACAGCCTTCAGTATGAATTACACCTCAACATAAAGAAAACAAAAATCCTCACAACTGGACCAATAAGCAACATCATGATAAACGGGGAAAAGATTGAAGTTGTCAAGGACTTCATTTTACTTGGATGCACAATCAACGTCCATGGAAGCAGTAGTCAAAAAATCAAATGATGCATTTCATTGGGCGAATTTGCTGCAAAAGACCTCTTTAAAGTGTTAAAAAGCAAGGATGTCACTGTAAGGACTAAGGCGTGCCTGACCCAAGCTATGGTGTTTTCAATCACCTCATATGCATGTGAAAGCTTGACAATGAATAAAGAAGATTGAAGAAGAATTGATGCCTTTTAATTATGGTGTTGGTGAAGAATATTGAATATACCATGGACTTCCAGAAGAATGAACAAATTTGTCTTGGAAGAAGTACAGCCGGAATGCTATTAGCAGCAAGGATGGCAAGACGTCATCTCACATGCTTTGGATATGTTACCAGGAGGTGTCAGTCCCTGGAGAAGGACATCATGCTTGATAAAGTAGAAGGTCAGCAAAAAAGAGGAAGACCCTCAATGAGATGGATTGACACAGTGGCTGCCAACAGTGGCCTCAAGCATAACAACAATTGTGAAGATGGCACAGGACTGGACATTGTTTTGTTTTGTTGTACATAGGGTCGCTGTGAGTCGGAATTGACTCGATGGCCCCTACCAACAACAACAAAAGCTAAAAAAAGAAAACGCAATGTTCCTGAAATGGAACAATCGCAAGAGTTACAAGAATAGCACTGAAAGCAGGAAAACATAGAATCAGCCCTGTGGTAAATGGAAGAGGTAAATAAAAGACAAATTGGAGAAACATGTCAAGAACAAAGTCATACTAAAGAGGTAAAAAAAAAAAATTAATAAGAAGTGATTAATATAGAAAAGGATCACAAACTCCAGGCCAGACAGGTGAGATAAATGAGGGAAATAGGTTGGCAAAAACCTAGTGAATAGTGAATTCTGGGTGTAAATATGGTAAACTGGAGACTGAATGCCTCTTTTAATGAGTTGATTAATACTCAGCAGCTGCTGACCTCTGCCATATGAGAGTAGGGCCCATCTTTCCAGAATTTTCAAATTTTCAAGAGAAGCGCGAAATCTAGATTTTTATGTGAAATCTGATTTTTATTGGTTTCTTACTATTTTAAAGTTAAAGCAAGAAATACATCAAGAGGCTCATGCCATACAGGCCCAACAAAACACATCTGTGAGCTAATTCCACCCATTGACTTCCAGCTTGTGACTTCTGGGTTAGAGATTAAAGCATGGAAATCAACAAAAGAAAAAATATTTTTTATGATGTCGGTAATTTGCATCATTATAATCAAATAGAGAGTAAATAACTATGTGCACTTACAAATCCCTATGTCGTCACAGCAGTCAAACACGCCCGTTTGCCAGTCACTAACAGTCACAACCCTTGTGCCATGTTGTGGTTGCGAAATAATTGGATTCATTTTCAAGGCTAAATTCAAAATGTCACTACCTGTGAAAACACAACAAAAAGTATTAAACACCTCACTGTATTGATTGGATATAATATAGATAACAGTTCTAGTGATATAATGATTTGTATCAGTTATAAAATATATTGATATAATGGAGACACCAGTTATAATCGTACAATAATTCATATCAGTTATAAAATATATTGATGTAGTTGCTGTTGAGGCATGTGAAAAGCAAAAAGCAATTATTGATGCTGCTTACGTATAAAGAAACACCTCACGAGACTTGTTTCCTTGGTTCAAAGGCCTTAGCGTCATGGTTTCATTGGTTATTGCAGACAATTGGCCTAATATTATTGTTAGTGTTTCTGTTCTACCTCCTAGTTCGTGTATGGTTCCTGGGACCTTAAAAAAACCAGATGGTGCCCAGATACCATTATTGAATGTTTTTGATCAAAGATTCTATAGCAAGATCATGATCAAAAGAAGAGGAAACATGAAAGATTTGCAATTCTCCTGAAATCTAGATTTCTGGCTTTCATGGATCTTGGGGTAACCTACACAAGCCATTGCCTTTGGGTGTCCTTTTGAACCTCGAGCTTTGAGAAAAAAAACTGGTTTCTGAAGCCACTTTTGAGTCAAACAATGGTCCAGATAAACTAGTAAGACCGTTTTGCTCTGGGTGTTGTGCTTTTTTTGAAGATTTCAGTCTGTTTTGGGAAACTGACTGCAAAGATCAGACCGAGAGCTATGCTTAGAGTAAATCAGTAATTAATTAGTCTTCAAGACAATGTTGTATAAAACATCTGTCTAACGTTTGTAATCCAATTGTCACCCCCTTGCTATGCAGAAAATTATGTATATTAAAGAAACCAAGTTCTCAGAGGAGATTGACGTCATGGCTCAAACTCCATTTTGTCTTAGGCTCCACTTCTGCTTCTGAGAAAATGACCCATGACTGTTAATAGGTAAACCAGGAAGGGGCATCTTGTCCTTGGGAAGAATACTTAGTATGTTTTAAATAGATTAACCGAAGACCTCCAACAGGAAAGATCCATCCTGTATGATCTTGCTAATCATGTAGTCTCTAATGGAAACTTGTTTGTCACCTGCAAATATTTCTATGCCTTCTGTTTCCTCTAGACAAACTTTGTGTTCTCCTTATAGGTATATGTTTTTGTGTGGTGCATCCAACTCTACTAGTTTAGATGATCCCTTTCCAACTGACAGTGAGTGAATTTACGTGGGCCATCTCTTGTTTAGATTCCTGGTGAACGCTTGGGCTATACACTTTGGGAACTTTAGGATTATCTTTAGATATTCGTAATAATGATGCTAGTAAATATCAGAAAACCTGTTGCCATTGAGTGGGTTCCAACTCACAGCGACCCTATAGGACAGAGTAGAACTGCCCCATAGAGTTTCCAAGGGTGATTGGTGGATTCAAACTACGACCCTTTAGTTGGCAGCCATAGCTCTTAACTGCTGTGGAAAGGTAATGTTAAATTGTTACACATTGTCAAATGAGAGTCAGAAGAAAATCCATTGGTCCACCACTCAGGGTGGAGTTGGTCATTTCTAAGGGCTTTAATTCCTATTTATGGTGTGGTAGAATTAGAGAAATTTATTAATCACTATGGCAAATGAATTTGCTAATAGGATGCAAACAAAACAGCGATCTCTGACCTCATCAGCCAAGGTGGCATTAGATAACTGAATAGTTTTAGAATTGTTATTAGCCCAAGAAGGTGTAGCCTGTGCTGTAGCAAATATCCCTTGTTGCATTTGGATGAATAACACAGGAGAAGTAGAACAGGATATACATAGAATTAGACAGCAAGCTATTTGATTACACACTATAACACCCTTACAAACACTGGATTTATTTGATTTGTTAAAATCAGGAATAAGTACATGGGCTAGATCACTATTGCAAGGAATAGTAATATTCTTAATCCGTATCCTGATAATATTAGGCATAATAAAACTTATCGTCTATTGTCTTGCGCACTTAAAAGGCAAAAAAAGGCCTGGGACTGAAATGTTGATATATCTTGACTATGCTCATTTTGGCAATGTGATTGATGAGAACGTCGCTCTTACTTAAGATCCTGATGAAGAACCAGATGGCATCTGGTGAAAAACCAGCACCATGAGTTTAAAGAGTCTGCTGTGACTGCCATCTAGGAGTCCGACTATGTATTGATCATCGATGCGGTATCTTCAATCTCCAGTCAAAAGGAGGGAGTGATTTAAGAGATAAAATTGGAGCCATTATTCCCTGTCCTTGGGCATAAAGAATGTTATCCAGCTGGAGTTGGACTCACAAGGACTCACAAGGACACATCAATTGGGCCCAGAGGTATAAAGAGAATAGCTAGGACAATCTTGGAAAACATCTTTTAGGGAATTTTTCACACAAACAAATCATAAACCGACCACAAAATACCCACATATTTTCCACTCATCTCTTTTTACTAGGGTTTAGTAATTAGCAAGATTTTGGGGACCAATGAAGACCCTCCTGACTGTCGTTACTGAAACCTGTACCATTGATTATTAAGAAAAACAATTCAAAATGTAGAGTCACAGTGATTTAGCAGTTTTTAGCCAATCTGTGAAAAAGTGGAGCTTTCAATGATTTTACCCATTTGTAATGTTACTACATACTGATGATTCTGTGATGTTCCTTGGACTCAGACAGACATGGCTTTGGCAGCATGCTTTTCCATTTCCCACTTTTGACTCATTGAACATATGCTGAATTAAACCTTTCTTTTTGCTTTGCTATAACTTTGTGGTGATTTTACCCTAGAACAGACTAATGCCACCTGTCTTTCAATACATGAGTTCTCTTACCTAAATAAAATGTTTAGAATTATGTTTTTAAAACACACTAGTATATATGTGTCATGGATGTATATACGTGTTTATAGATTTTACATTGTGCTACCTCTGAATATTGTGGATAAATCTATACTGGGCAGAAAAATAGATGAGCAATTATTGGTTTTTTAACAGATTCAAAACATTTTAATTGTGATAAAACATATATAACAAAAAATTTGCCATTTTAACCATTTTTAAGTGTACGATTCAGTGACATTAGTTACATTCACCATTTTGTGCGACCTTCTCTATGATCCATTTACAAAAGTTTTTCATCACCCCAAATGAAAACTCGGTACCCCTTCAACGATAACTCTCCATTCTCCCTCCCCCCAGCCCCTGTAACCCCTAGTAACCTTTTTTCTCTATGTATTTGTCTGTTTAGATAGTTCATATAAGTGGGATCATATGATATTTGTCCTTTTGTGTGAGATCAGCAGTTCTTAAACTTTAATGTGCACAGAAGTCATTGTTAAAATGCAGATTCTGATTCAGTAAGACTGGGTGGGAGCTGAGATTTGCCTTTCTAACAGGCTTCTAGGTGGTGCCAACAGAGCTGGTCCCAGGCCCACACTTTGACTGACCAGAGCATAGATCATGGTTGGGAACTGTGGAGACAAACGAACAGGGGTTGAAATCCACTTCGCATCAGCTGGGTGTCCTTGGACAAGTGAACTAACTTCTCTGAGCTTCAGCTTTGACATCTTTCAAATAAGTATAAAAAAGATTTATCTCATTGGCTTATTGTGTTAATGTTATAAAATCCACTGCGGTCGAGTCGATGCTGACTCATGGCGACCTCATCTGTTACAGAGCAGAACTGCTTCACAGAGTTCTTTTGGCTGTAAACTTTATGGCAGCAGATTGCCGGGTCTTTCTTCTGTGGTGCCATTAGGTGGGTTTAAAACACCAACTTTTAGGTTCGTAGTCGAGCGTAAACTGTTTGTGCCAGGGACCTGTTAATGTGATAAGTTACGTAAATAATTTGTTATTGTTGTTTGGTGCCATCGAGTCAGTTCCGACTCACAGCGACCCTATAGCACAGAGTACAACTGCCCCATAAGGTTTCCAGGGAGTGGCTGGTGGATTCATACTGCTGACTTTGTGGTTAGCAGCCAAACACTTAACCACTGTACCACCAGGGCTCCTTTAACGGTATGAAAAATCTGGCAGCACAGCACCCAAAAGGACAATGACAGTGTGGTGGGACAGGATAATCAATGGATTAGAAATTGGAAGTCTTGGATTTTAGGTATTGCTGGTATTTGGTAAGCTCAATAAGGTAATGTATCTGAAAGCATTTTGAAGGCTGCAAACTACTATACACCGTGAAGCCTGTGAGAGTCGGAACTTGACGGGACTGCCTTGTTTTTCCTCGTCTTGCAAGTTTTCTGCCCTTGGCAGGGTGCAGTCTTTCCACTTTTCTATCGATCTCTATCAGTGGAAAATACTGAGTTTTCCTTCTCTGACAGGTTTCCACGTTACACATGTTCCAGCTTGCACAGGTTTTACTGGACATGAGAGATAGTCCAAGTATCAGTGAAAGCTAATGGGGCAAACCTGAGTGCAATGTTGATAATGACAATGGCTTACACTTGTATAAAGCACTGTACTTTTCAAAGCATTTTTGTTTGCTTGATCTTTAATATTTACAGTAGACCAGACCACTCAGAGTGTTAAGGCTGATCATAATACTCTTTTTACTACAGATACCAAAACTGAAGCAAAGAGATTAAGTGACAAGGCCAAGTAAAAGTCCAAGTAAAACCTTATGGGGCGGTTCACTAGTCTAACCTCTTTATTAGTAAATGAGGAAATGAGGCTCGTCTCATAGAAGTTAAATGACTTTACTGAGTGCTGGCCTCTTGTCCTCTTCCCAGTCTCCTCAGGGAGAAGATATGGAGAATATCATGGTTACGTGATTACAGAAAACAAAAGATGAGAAAGTGGACCCAGCAACACAATCTAGTGTTTGAGAGCATGGGCTTCGGCTCGAGACACCAGGGTTTTAATCCGATCTTTCCCATTAACTGGCTATGTGACCTTGGGCAAGTTACTTCACCTCTCTGAACCTCAGTTTCCTTATCTGTGAAATAGAATGTTAACAATACCTAGGCTGTCAGGAGGATAAAATGAGTTAATATTTGAA